CATGTGTGTGTGTGTCACACACACACATGTGTCAAGAACGTGTTAAAGAATGCACCAGTCTGGAGGGTCCCCTCAGATAAACAGCAGGTGAACAGATGCCAAGACTGATTCTTTTTCTTATATGTTATAAGTACATACAAAGAACCTGCAGAATCAAGCCAATGGTCCATTAAGTCCAGCATCTTGTTCTTACAGTGTCCAACCAGATGCCTGTGGAAAACCTGCAAGCAAGGCGCAAGTACAAGAGCACTCTCATCTTCTGCAGTTTCCAGCAAGTGGCATTCAGAAGACTACCACCACAGCTAGTAGCTGAGCAACAATCTGTTCAACAAATTAGAATATCTAAGGAACAGCTAGACATTTCTTTGCTAGGTATGTTCCAGCTACTTCTGCCTGGAGTAGGGTGGACACAGCATTAACTTTGAAGAGGCTGAATTTTAACACTGGTAATAGTTTAGCTGTTTTAATTTAATTTTTATTTTATTATTTTTATAAAAATATTTATACACTACTGTATCATAAAAAATATATCACATCAGTTTACGGCAATATAAAAACATAAAACCAAACAATGAAATCATAAAAAGTTAAAAGCAACTTAAAAGCAAAAATAAGTGAAAAGCAAACCAACAGATCATTGTGTGGGATGTATCCTTAATTCATTTTTATATTTGTTTTAAAAATATTTGGGCACAGCATTTGTTTTACATTAATTAAAAGGTTGTCCTTAAAAGTCTAACATCAAGCCAAAATCTAGACATCTGGGAATTTTAGATTCTGGAATCGTATGTTCCAGTCATTGGTGTGTGCGTGCTTCTTTTTCTCTTTAAAAATGTTAATTTCCTAAAACCTGCTGTGAAGTATTATTAGCAATCACATCATGTTAAAAAAATGCCCTTCAAGATTAAAAGCCTGAGCTAGAGGCCAGATTGCATCTCTCCAAACTCAATTTTTCCTTGCTTGATAGATGGCATCACCTACTTTATTTCCGTTTTATATCATTATATCCACCTAGCCAACTGAGGCCCATTCCGAACCAACTCATAATTGCGATCCATTTTTCTTTTAGAAGGATGAGAAATACTTTATGAACTACACACAAGCTGTACCACCTAAAAAAGAAACCAGCAGAACATTCTTATCCCTGCTGGTCTCATACTCAGTATTTTCTGAGTACATATGATAGATTACAAGTTGCTCTAGGGTACAAACATTTGCTTATTTCCTGCAAACAAATTTACTGCTAATGCCAGTGGACAAGCAATCAGTATTAAATCAGGAAGTCTCATTCAGTTTGTACAAGTTTTTTCAAACTCTAAAAGGGCATTGTATGAGGGCTAACAAGTTGGCAGAGGTGGGGAGTAGCGTTACTGTAAGCCGGGAGGAAAGGAGCATTATATCAGCCACTGTGATGGGTAAATAGAATGAGGCCTCTGGGTATTTGTACTAGTTGCCTGGCCTATTGACTTTGCCTGGTCAACAATGAAGGTGTCAGCTCCAGCCCTAGCTGAAGCTCCGGCCCCAGCCCCTGACTACACAGATCTTGAGTTCTGACACACACATTCCAGAACTTGTTCCTCATATGGCCACAGCCCACTAACAAAGCACAGTGCCCGTTCGTAGCCTGAATATCTCAAGCTTAAAACCACCTGCTGTAGAAGAATACACCCTGAGGTTCTTCTACAAACCTGCCACGTATATTTTTAAAAACCTCCATCTACTCTGACTGCTCTTGACAGCAGTTCAAATCTGTCTCCAGCAGTGGCATTCTCTCATTACTGTCAAGTTAGCTGCCACATTAAGCAAAGAAAAGTACATCACCCAGCATCTTGTCTGACAGCAAGCACTATTGAGCAAGACAGGGACACAAACAAGAGCCCCACAGCATTTTATCTGCTTAGTAGGGTTGCTATCAGAGAAGAACAGACAGTCTTCTAAGGGTGCTTCCAGGCTATCGCTGTTTTGGGGTGGTATCACAGATTGGCAAATTCAATCACGTGCTGGAAAATTCAAGTTGCGCAATTAAATTTGGTGCAGAGCTCTTGCGCAACAAACCTCCTTCTCCCCAAAATCAGACATTTTGAGATAAGGAAAGCGATGTGGAAATGTGAAGCGTAAAAACAACACTGGTTGATGTAATGCTGTTTGAACTTGCAAAGAGATCAGAATGAATGCTCAGTAAAGAGCTGGTGTCATCTAGTATGCCTGCAAACTTGGTAAACACAAATCATGATGAATGCTCAATAATCAGGTGGTCTGGGAGCAGCCTAAAAAGGCCAGAAGGAAGGAACTTTCCTCTAAGCAGCATACCTAGGGGCAAACTACACTGCAAAAAGAACATCAACGTGCATACTAGGATCAGAGGGGTGAAGAAATTGCCCCTTTAAACCCTGGAAGCATCACCAGATTGTGAGAGGTGGCTTTGCAGTGGCAACCAGGAACATATTAGTGTGGAAAAGTGCAAGCTGCGTTTGCAAGTGCTTGGACTCAACTCACTTTCTCGGGGGGGGGGCATCAAAATAGTAAAAGATCCCTCCACAACAAATAGAAAGCTGAAACATAGTACATCACACAGGTCAAGGCACTCTGTTTAATAAAAAGGAGGGTGCTTTTATGCCTATCACTAAAAACTCAGGAATAAGCACTCTTAATTACTAAATCCACCACTCCAGCAGGGATTGCTCTTTAAAACATGACCAGGTTGGGAAAGGAGGTATTTGCAGAAATTTGTGCGCATTAGAAACATATGCAGTGGTACCTCGGTTTACAAACTTAATCCGTTCCAGAAGTCCGTTCTTAAACCGAAACCGTTTTTTTCTTTTTTTTTTTTGAATAATATTTATTAGAATTTCGAATAATACAGAAAATAAAAAGAAAAAAGAAAAAAGAAAAAAAACAAACATTCATTGTATTCCACATTTTCAATACCTTCTTTCCAGAACTTCCCCTCACCTCCCCTTCTTGTATTCCATGTCCAATTGTTTATCCAACAAGTTCTTATCCCAAAATTTTTAACCTTGATTTGTTATAACAATTAGTTCAATTTATATATCAACTTTTAACTTATATACATCGATCAATTAGCTTAAAGATTTTTTCCTGAGATCGACCCAGTTTCCCTTCCACGGATTCCCCACTTTTATACTAGTAACAACAAAATTAATTTAAAAAAAGTAAAAGAAAAATAGACAGCCTTCGGATTTCCAGATCCCACCCTCCCTTCCCCGGCTTCGATCCCAAAACCATTGTCCATTAATCCATCTGCTTCAGCCTGGCAACCTCACATCTGAGGCCCTTAAGTCCCTTTCAGTCCCTCTCTGCCGGTTTCTTTGACAGTCCTTTGTATTTGGCACCAAGGCTCGGAGGGGCACAATCCCTGTAGTTTCCATGATCCTTCCAGCCAGACCTCCATGTTTAAAGGTGGAGCTCAAATCCTGTTTCTTAATCTTTTTAAATCCAAATGTCCCAAAAATTCCAGCTCCCACCTTGATCAAATTTGTAATCTCCATCTTCACAGGCCTCCGGCTCACCTTTGCCCTCTGCAACGTTGCAACCCCTCCTTTTTGCTCCTTCTGATCAGCATCTTCTTCCACTTCTTCCACTTCCTCAATTTTGCCTAAGTTCTTTTCTTGTTCTGCTGCCTGGATTTTCAAGTCATTTTCCAACTCAGTGGGTGCATTTATTGTTGACTCACAAGTTATGGCACTTGTAGACAAAACATGGCCTTGTTCATACATCCTTTGTAACTTTCCCACGAGAAAGGCAAGCTCGTCCAGGTCAGCTAGTATTTTCCGGCCGATTTCCATTCTTGTAATGTCCCTGAATCCCCTGTAGAGGGGTTCTGGTTATTTAATATTCCTTTCACTTCAAACCCAAAGGCCAAGTTAAATTGTTTCAGTCCTTGTTTGTTTTCAGCAACTTGTAACTATATTATATCCAATGTAACCGGCAAGAACGTCAGATACAAAGTTCTCTATTTTCCAACTTTGACAGCTAATTTGACAGCTGTCAAAGTCCTCTCTGTCTCCTCAGCAGGCTCCTCTCACGGATCACTCCCGGTCTCGGGGGGGGGGTGGAACTTTAATCAAAATGTTAACTCTTCTCCTCCAGCACAGTCACTTATATTGTCAATCCATGCAATTAAAAACTTTTATCCAAAATACAGGCTCTCTCTCGATCTTAGTTGTTAAATCCTTGCTTTAAAATGTTTACAATGGGGGGGAGACGGATTTCCTCTTTGCTCCTCCCCCCGTTCGTGCCGAATCCAAAAAAGAAAATTTTAAATCGAATTTCCAAATTACTCACGGGTTGTTGTTTTCATTTTAAGTCCAGATTTTCAAAGGAAGAAGTCAGCGCTCTCTGCCGAATGGCATGCGGCTTCGCTCGGCAGGGGAAGCAAAAGACTCGCAGCACCGCACCGCTCCCCGACCCCAGCTCCGTAGCCTTTAAAAAGGCTCCTTCGCTGGTCGGGGGGCGCTAATGGTGCCCGCCGAGTCACCAGGACCACGGGCATCCGCGCCCGTGGTTTTTAAGGGTCCCCGCGTCGCCGGCGCGGCAGGACCCGACCCCTGTCGAGCAGATTCCCTCCAGAGATCGGAGGAAATCCGCCATTCGGCGATGGCGCCAACCCGGAAGTGTTCTTACACCAAGGCATGCTTTCCCTAGTGAGGCCTCCCACCTCCGGTGCCCTTCCACCATTTGGCTTCTGTTCTTACACCGAGGTAAAGTTTGCAAACCAGGACACTACTTCCCGTTTTGGGGAGTTCGTAAACTGAATAGTTCGTAAACAGGGCTGTTCTTAAACTAAGGTACCACTGTATGAGACATGCATATTTCACAATTAAGGGTGGTTTAATTAAGTTTTAGTCAGAGTAGACCTATTTAAATTAATTGGCCTTATTTAGTCAAGAGTTATTCATTTCAATGGATCTACTATAAGTAAAACTTAGTTGAATACTCCCATAAATGTTTAAAGAATGTGAAGCGGTACATATACTTACAATGGAAGTAGGTTTGTGTTGAAGGCAATGGCAGTGTACCCGGGTACAGTGAAGTCTGCAAGAATTCAAAAAGTAATCTGTCTATAAATCTAGGACTTGAATGTTACCTAGAATTAGAAAACCTGAATATAAGTAACAGTTTAAAGAGGAGTTTGTCTCCTGTAACTTAATAGAGTTACAAAACTCCTTAAAAACACCGAAGCTCACACTAACTTAAGTTTATTCAAATTTGTAGGAAATAGAGAACAGGAAGGCCAATACCATGATCCAACAAAGCACTCTGCACACATTGGGAAGAACCACACATGTTGCCTGAGGTTTCTTTGACGTTGCACTGTGGCTTCTTGTTCTGTTAAAGAAGCAAGCCACATTTTGCACTGAAATGGCCACGACAGTGGCTGCAGAGAAAACTGCCAACACTGGTGGTGCATATGTGCATCTACTGAATCAAAAATATCAAGAGTAATCACACAATAGATTAAAAGTGTTAGAAATTGGCCATTTGATGCCTGAATGATGATCTCACACAGATATAGGCCAAAATCCAATTCTAGGCATGGGCACACTTGCCATGAGCAAGAATTGGTGGTCCTGGATGGATGCAGCTCCTTGTAGATATCTTTAAAAATACATTCAAGAACCAGGTCGATGGGGCAAGCTGAACTTTGTGACTGGCAATATACCTCCATAAATGTGTTTTCACCAGCCACATACATGGAAAATGGCCACTCCTGTCACCCAGTTAAAGGCCCACACCCATAAAAATGGACTAAAACTATTACTGTTTACTCTAATTCTTTATGAGTCTATACTTTAAAATAAATAAATGCAGAAATAAATAATTCAATGATAACTTGCAGATTTAAAACATAGCACAAAAACACATAGATCCACATATCACCTACACAGACTTACTTGGAGACATAAAGTCCAAGAAAATACAGGAGGGCCACGGCAATCAGGCAGGCAAAAGCAACCAAGAAAGCTGAAGAGAAAAATAGCAATTTAGCTACTTGTGGTTGAGTTACAAGATTCTCTTTCTCCCCGCCACTCCACCCCACATCCTTTCACTACATACCATTAGCAAACGCCACGCTAAATATTTTATCTATAATTTCACAATTTCATTCTGCCCCCCCCCCAAAAAAGCACCCCATTAAGAAAAATGACTACCTCCAGCTGCAGATAAGAAAGCATTGTGATGGGGTGATCAGTCATGGATTCTTTTAATAAAGAAAATAATGCAGGCTGCTTTTGTTGACACTGGAATACAGTGGAATTACCGCAAAGAAATGTTTCTGGCAAATCCGTTCATATATCATACATGTGGCCCACTTTCTAGGCTCCACACCTGCCCTTGGGTCTTCATACTGTGTCACCCAATTGTCTCCTCACACTTGCAAGTGTCAGAAATATGGTGCCACCAGGACAAGACTTTGGGGCAGATGTATATCCGAGGAATGAGCAGGAGGAGTCCCCCAAACACAACAGGGCTAGCTTACTACCTTCTGAGGTAAGTGAACATAATAACTCCAACATTCCTCCGAAAACAGGGACATTCTTTTCTACGCCAGTATTACTGCTTGAGCGTTTCCTCCTGGTCAAGTGTACAAAAGTTATTAGAGGAAACACACAAAACTGGGGCACTTTAAAGCACAGAAAACTGGGAATTTATGTATTGCATTTAGGGAAGCTCTGAGGGGGGAAAGAAAACCCCAAATCAATAAATACTACTAACTAGCATTGATATTGATGTAGACTAGAATGTCCCTATTTACTGAGGACTGCTGGAGAGTAATAGCATGGGGGGGGGATTTAAGACCAGTAAGTCCAGGGGGCACACAGGCCTCCTGTAGAAGTGTGCATGCACATGAAAGCTCATACCAATATCAAACTTAGTTGGTCTCTAAGGTGCTACTGGAAGGAATTTTTTATTTTGTTTAGGCCTCCTGTAAGTCCATTACATCACCCAAGTGCACGACTGCCCTTGAATGGCACTCTGTGTCCTTGAAGGAGCTATACAGTGGTACCTCAGGTTAAGTACTTAATTCGTTCCGGAGGTCCGTTCTTAACCTGAAACTGTTCTTAACCTGAAGCACCACTTTAGCTAATGGGGCCTCCTGCTGCCCCTGCGCCGCTGCCGCGCGATTTCTGTTCTCATCCTGAAGCAAAGTTCTTAACCCGAGGTACTATTTCTGGGTTAGCGGAGTCTGTAACCTGAAGCGTCTGTAACCCAAGGTACCACTGTAATTGGAAGGAGAAATTGGGGTAGTTGCAGCGTATGACTGGAAACAATTAGGACAGATCCACAGAGATCTTTGTGCCCTGGGGCAAAGTTGCAGAAGATGAATTGTTTTGATTTGTTTGTTTGTTTGTTTCAGTTGGGGCTCCACTTTCTCACCTATAGGGTCAAAGCACCTATATTTCCCACAAAAGCACAGTCTCTAGCTTGGCACTGTGATCGTCTTGGTTTTCACTTAAGGTGCAAAAGCTCATTTAAAGCCCACCATGGGTAAATCAAGGTGGCGTTTACTAAGCAAGGAGCCCCCTCACACAAATAGTTTCTATCCTGAGGAATGCTACACACCCCCCCCCGCCTTCCTGGGAAGCATTGTTCTCGTTGTAAATGAGCTTCATTTGCCCCTAATTATGTCATCCAGTACCTAAATTTGCTATGTGATAATCTCTGGTCACTTGAAGAGGAATAAAATGGATGGGTGCTCAGTATGGCAGCAAAGAGGAAATGGATGTGAACAATTATAATAAAAAAAATAATATCAGTATATAACTAGAATTAACTGGAGAGGGGAAGCTTTTGGCCCATTCAAAGATCACTACTGTACTTTTGAACAAATTAACTGGATCTGTGGAACGTTCAGCTCAGTTCACAGTTCCACGTTTTAGCAGCTCCTGCACCATAAACCTAAAAACTGAAATGGGACTGAAACCAAATTTAGACTACCAGATTACATTGTAAAATTGGACTGTACCACTTTAGACTGCAAATTGGGGTGTGTGTGTCAGATATTGTAAACTGCCCTGTGAGCCTTGAGTGAAGAGCTATATGAAAATTTAATAAATAGTTGAATAAATAATTGAATACTCTACTGAGAAACAAAATCCCAGCATGCAGAAAAGGAATAAACTTGTCAGAACAGGCTATACTTGTCCTCTCTGATTTCCAGCTTTCTAGTGCAGAGGGGTTGTTCTATGGAGAGGCACTCTCCCCATCTCACCCCCGGAGTCTCAAGTGATGGAGTCAAGGAGCATTTTTACTACATGACAAATTCAGCCTCAGTTTGTGGAAGCCACAGACTTCGCTCATTTTTAACTGGAAGGTTCTATTTACCCCCACTGCCTTATAAAACCATATGTAACTTATTTCCTGTAACTGCAAACTGATGACAAATCTGACTGGATTTATAATCCTGCCAGCAAGCAATATCTATTCATCAAGCGTACAATGGAAGATACAAGCCCAATCAAATAAAATGCTACTGGACTATTTCCAGCAGAGCTAATAATACAAATCGAATACTTCGTTAGCCAGTGTGTCTAAGGCTAAGACGCCTCATCCCAGAATTATTTTCCATGGATTTAGTTTCTTAAATATTCATCCATCCAACAGCTAGAGTGAATTTTCATACGTATTTCTCAGACAGGGGAATTATAACACTTCAATAACTATATCTGGCTGCACTATGCATTGTAATGACATCAAACCAATGCCCAAGAACTGTCTCTCAGTATTAATTAGTAACATGGGTCACCTTCCCCATAGCCCCTTAAAATATCCCATTTTTTAAAAAAAATCAGAGCATTGATTGAGGTACCTTCGATTCTTTTGTTTCCTCTATTTAAGCCCTCTGTCTTTCTGGCTGCCTGACACAAGTGTGTTAATATGTATTTATGGGCAGGCGTGGCAATATAACACATATAAATCAGCCTCATATAACCAACGTTTAACTCTAATTACTGTACTTTTCCATGTATAAGACTAGGGTTTTTTTTACTTTAAAATAAAGTTAAAATCTGGGGGCATCTTATACATGGATAGTGCATATGTTCATTTTCTAAATTTGGGGTCCCCAAAAGTAGTGGGCGTCTTATACATGGGGGCATCTTATACACGGAAAAATACGATAATACATGGAGGTGTTAAGTCCATGCTTAGGCCTCTCCCCCTCACCTTGGAAGGAAGGGCTACCAAACTCTTTCCACCATCCTTTTCTTTCCACCATGTAAACCAACCAGTCAAGAATGCCTGGGCTGGTTCCTCCAAGCCCAGACCCAAGGCAGGTGGAAGGTGCTGCTGGAACTTACTTTTGACTTTCCTTGCATGCTCAGAGACAGCAGGCAAACACAGGCAGCAATAGCCAAGAGGATGAGAACAGGACCAAAAGTCTCCAGAGAATGTCAGTAGGTCCCCTGCAGGGATATTTGCCCTGGCAGGTGCCCAGTGATGCTAAGGCTAGACAGGGGTAGCCTAGCTGCTTTGACTCCTGTATTGGTTACCTCACAACTAGACTGTTGTGATGCGCTTTGTGTACAGCTGCTCTTGAGGGATAGGTTTAGAGGCTACAGTTGGTGCAAAATGTGGGAGCAAGGCTGTTGGCTGGTTGAGCTCCTTCATAGCACATTACATTCATTCTAAGAGAGTTGCACTAGCTGTGACTTCCTAACCAGGGTTGGAGAAGCCCACCAGGCTTTGCCTCTTTTCCCTGGCAGCCCTCCCCTCCCCAGTGATCCCCTCCTTCTGTTGATATTGTCACCCCAGCAACGGTGACTTCTAGAAGCCAAGCACCTTCTTTCTGGCAGTTGGTCCAAGCCAGCATCAAAAAGTCTGCTGCACATAACAATATATTTGAATGCTCAGAGAAAACAGATTGAATTCATCACTTTAAAAAAGAGAGAGAGAGAGCATGGTTTTCAGGCCCAAATAATGGTTTTCAAAATTCACCAATGAAATATGGAAGTTTCTGTACTAGGGCGTGTGGGGGGTCTTTTTTGGGGGGGAGTTGCTGTGATAGAGAGCTGTAGGCTTTATAAAAAGTTCATCAACTGCTCTTTATCTGCTGACCAAGAAGCACCATCAATAGCTACAGCAAATTGTGAAAAAATGCCAAATCCCCATGTTACTTGACACCTACAATTACAATCATTCTCCTCACGGAATTCTCGTTCATTTTATCTCAAATAACTGAGATCACAGACCATACAAATTAATTCCAGTCAGTAAAATGCAAAAAAAAAAAAAGAGTAAATGTACACCAAAAACCTCTGAAAGCAGAACATTGATTAAGAAGTCAGAACTACATGACAAAAGAGGTGGGTGGGTGCATGCGCACACACATGCACGCGCAGAAACACAGAAGCTGCCTTATATCAAGTCCAACCATTAATCTACCTAGCTCAATAGTGCCTACACTGACTGGCAGCAGCACTTCATGGTTTCAGCTAGAGAGCCTTTACAGCCCTGCCAGGAGAAGCCAGGAATTGAAGCAATGACCTTCCACACACAAAGCATGAGGTCTACCATTCAGCTATGGTCCATTCACATCTAGCAAGAAAGGATGGATAGCTGCTCATCACTTCTGGTCCACAGCGTCAAGATGAGAAATGCTACCTCTTAATTTTCTGGAAAGTTTTAATTAGTGTACTCCAAAGGCAAGGTAGCTGTGCAGCCCAACACAATGCATATTACTTGGACACAAGTCCCCCTAATTTACTGCCCTGCAAGCATGCTGAGAATCATAACCTTTGAACATTAAAGTTCGTCTCAATTTGAACCGCAAGAGAAATAACAACAAGGAGAAAAGTGACAGTGAGGAAGGTAAGAAGGTAAAATAACACAGTCTGAAATTAGCAGTTTCACTAGAAACAAGACATTACTGTTGGTGCCCTTTTGTTCTATATATTTGTAAAGTAGCACCTCCAAGTGGTAAAGCTCATTATTGCCAGCTGCTTCCACATCATTCAATAAAC